TACTTTCATTGCAATAGTAAACACACAAATTGTCCAAATAAATAAAAGAAAAGGGTTCAACACAGCTTAAAAACAGTTAAATAGCTTTTGAGTATCCCCCCCCCCCCAAAAGAAGTATATAAATAAAAGGGGCCACGAAACTCACCTGTGAGTGGATGGTATTAGGTATGCGAGAGGTCAAGCAAGTAATCTACAATTAAACAAGGGTGTGTGTGAGCTACACATGGCCATGGCTTAAAACCTTACCATTGTAATCTCGTAATCGATGGAATATACATGATCGGCCTAGTATTTCTAAAGGACAATTTTACCAAGCGTCGTAAAACTATAAGTCAATTAGTTGTGGGTAGTCATCTCGACCTAAGTATCGATGGTTTGCCMAAGTTTTATAAGTTTGGTTTCTTAACCGAAATTTTAGGTTACTTCAAGAATTTTTCCTATACCTTAAATGAATTAGATAAGGTTCCAAAATTTAATGGTAGAGACTTCCAAGTATTAGGTATTTTCAGAAATTTTCCTTAATTTTAATTAATGTTTTACTAATTTTAAAAATAACATAAAAGTACAAGTCAGTAAATCGTTCTGTTTTGCGCAACAGAAAGTTATATACAAAATAAAATGCTTAAAGACCTCCAAAAATTCTAATAGACATATTGAACTCAATCCAGAAAAGTTTTACCAAAGAATTCGAAAAAAAAAATGAGGGAGTTGTGACGCCCCCAAAACGTCCTAGATTCTGTCCAAAATTTCCAGCTTTGCAACCCTGAACGGTAAAGGCTTTTTGACCAAGTTAATTTTGTTGTTTTGACACGAAACCACTTGGAACAGAAAGTAGACTCATTGAACTTGAACCTAGACCCAAAATTCGTATTTTAACTCCATGTTATGACTGAGATACGGCCTCTCCAAGTCAACACATTTTCTGCCCAGATTCTGGAATGGATCAAGCGACATTGTTTTTACTAAACAACCATACCAAGGACCCTATTATTAGTCAAGACTCATTAAAACTTATTCTTTTATAAAATCTAAATGTTTTTAATCAAAAATATATTCCATCCATTAGAGTTACATTAACAATCGAATGAAAATCATAAAGACGATAGAAAGACAAACAAGGTGAAGGTTTTTACCAACTCAACGATTTGTGATGAAGATATCACTTGTAGGCTTCAAGTACCCTTCATGGATCATTAGAAAAATAGAAGAAAATTAAGTTTCTAATGGATTTAGAGAAGAACTTATAGAAGGAAAAAAAACGTTGGACGCTTACAAAAGGCTTCGTTTAGGAATCAAAGGAAYTTGTTTCTTGCAAGTTTGAAGAACAAAACTTTGAATAACTTGATGGTGATGATGACTCTTGATCAAGCAAAAGGGAAAAAAAGAGAGAATGTTGTGTTTTGTTTTTCTCAGGAATGAGAGTAATTAGGGTTTAGGAGGAGATAAAGAAGTATTGAAGATTATCAACAACTAACTACTATATTTAAATTTTGAAAAAAGAAAGGAAAAAGAAAAAAAAAGATGGGATAAACTCCCTTACGTTTTCTTCCATGGATAATTATACATAAATATATTATTTAATTTATTTAAAACTACTTGATTTATTTCTTTATATGATAAGCTTCTTTGATAATATTAGCTTTTTTTTATTAGTTTTTTTTTAAACAACCTAACTAGTTAACATTATTAACTCAATTCATTTACTTAAGGCTTTTAGTCACCGGTACGATGCACATAAAACATTTGTATAGACCAATTATGTACTCGGGAAAAGAAATTCAAYTTAGGAATTATRAAYASTTAGCTTTCCTCTACTATTAGAATGACTAGAGTACTTAAGGGAAAAAAATGAACCCACCCAACTCCTAAAATTTCACACCTTATGTTTCAGGAAGCATGTGAGCACATAAATTTACTAAAAGGGCTAACATTAGGTTTCGAGTTACGGTTGACTAACCTGGTTTGGTGACGGATGTCACAAGATCCCTTCTTACGCTTCTCACCTTTAACTCTCTTTCTCACTGGATTCCAACCCTGTAACATGAATGGTAAGTTCTAAGATGTTGACTTATGTGGTTATGCTGAACATAAATCCTAACATTTTTCAGTATTTCGATAAATTTGTAATTGCTTTGCGTGCTTACAAAATTGTTAACCATTTCCGATTAGCTAGTGATTAACAAGATGTTAGACAGTTCGATGTAATAACTCCTTCAATTATAATCTACAGGCATACATAGTTTCCATGGTATGCTATTACAACTATAATTTACATTGATATGTGCATAGTACATGTGTTGGTCTCTCCAAACATAAATGAGGTTATTGCATAACAAGGGTGAGTTACATTCTCCTTTCAACAGTTATGATAATTTTTTTCTTTTTTCCTTTTATAATAAAATAAAATTGATAAGAATATATATATATATATATATATATCATAGACTGGAGTAAATTTCTCAGAGCTTTACTATAATCTATTGCCTTGGGCAATGGTTCTAAGATGCTATATTTTGATAGGCAATTTACTCTTTAGATCGAATGTCTGATTTTCCCTTGTTAGTAGATCAGAATATACTGCCTTGGGATATCATTTGACAAGCTCCCTCTTATTTTTAAATAACAGGCATTGCGGCTGATCTTGCAATATGGAGTAAAGCCTAGGTGGTTTAACACGTGTAGTACAATTACAGATAAGGGAAATTCCCAAATATCACGAACTCTATCATCTGATCTTCGTAGTTATTTGATTGATGTATCACCTATTGGTGACTCTGTAGTGCCAGAGTTGCTTCTTAAAGCATTAGAGCCCTACAGAAGAGAAGGTAAGGTTTGTGGTGTGTTGCATGGCTTTCTTTTTAGTGTATATTGTTGACAAAAGTTGATTATTTTTCTTTCTTTTCTCTTCCGTGTCTTGTTGAATCAGGTTGCGTACTTGATGATGAGAGAGTGCGTCAATATGCTAATATAATCACTAAAGGTTCTGCTGCGAGGTTTTCTTTTGCAGCTGCAATATTTGGTGAAACCTCAGAGGCTTGCTTTTGGTTGCAATTGCCTCGTGCACTAAAGCACTTGTTGAACATGTTGGCTAACAAGTCTCTCCAAAAACTGCCTGTAAAATTGCCGTCTGCATCAATTGATGATTCATCGTTACTAAGTAGGATGTTCACAAAGGGACGGTCGGTAGCAGGGTCAACAAACAAAAAATTAGTGGTAAGCTTTTTGGTCCTTTAGATGTTTTGAGCACAAAATTATCTACCAATAAGGGAATATGCTGTCTCCATTTGTGTCAAAAGCAAGCCAAAGAAACACAAACGAATCTATGTGGAACGCGTGTTCTATCAGTACCAATGAGCTATTTGTCTTTTTGTTGCATGCTATCCTGTTCATATAGGCCTGTGTGCAGCTCATTTTGGGCCTTCTACTACTGATTTAAGAAAAAGAAGAAACTATTGTTGACTTTCACTGGTAGACACACAACTCTAGCCATCCCAGACTGCTACATTTCAGTTTGTTTGGCACTTTTTTTCTTAAAAATGGAAGTACAAACCAATAAAATAATAGTGGTGTATTAATATTGGTGTGTCTAATGGCAGAGTGACGGCCAACTTAGGATGATGGCTTTTGACCAAGAAGAGTTGTGGGAAAATGCTAGTGAGCGTATCACCTGGCATGAAAGATTGGAGGGTGAACAGGCTATTCAGAACCGTGTGCATGAGTGAGTTCATCTCTTTTTCTGCTTTTCATGCCGCTTTCAAGGGCCATGTAATGCTTGCATTAATGCTACTTTTGGCATATGGTTAGTTTGTCCAATTTGGAAAAAACTTAGTAAAGGAGGCAAGAGCGTTTTTCGTCCATGGTACATACTCTCTACATGTATGTATCTTCTAGTTCTGTTTTATGCTTTTGTTTTAAGACGACAGTTGTGATCCATAATGGAACATTTAGGTCTACGGTTTAGGTTCGATAATGTTTTAAAGTTTCTAAACTTTATTTTATGGTCAAGTGAACATCCAGATTTCTCCAAATGATTCTGTAATCTAAACTTTAATTTAGTCAAAAATGGTGTCCATCAATGTGTAAATACATCAACTAAGGGATAATTCTTAGATTATGAACGTATATATTTTACGGTTTCTAAATATTTATGTCACATGTGTTCAGGCCCAAGAACCATACACATTAATAAACTGATGGAAAACCTTGATATGTAGAGGTCCTGAACATACAGACACCACAAATCACTTAATAAACTGCAACTCAAGCCTAATTGCTAATTACATGTCCTGACATCAATGATATTCAGGCTTGTGTCGGTTGGTAACTTGGACGCTGCTGTCAATTTACTGCTTTCTACTCCTCCAGAGAGCTCATTCTTCTATCCAAATGCTTTGCGTGCTGTTGCTCTTTCATCTGCAGTTTCAAGATCTCTAAATGAACTTGCTGTAAAGGTAATTATAGGCTTCTCCACATCCAATTACATTCCACTTTGAAACATGAAAATTGTCTTGCATTTTAGCCGATTTTAATCTGATCACTTGTTTCTTACTTGTAGGTGGTTGCAGCAAATATGGTGAGGACTGACAGGTCATTGTCAGGCACACATCTGCTTTGTGCTGTAGGGAGATATCAAGAAGCATGTTCACAGGTGATCTTATATTGCTCACAAGAATTCAACTAGTGTAATAAACAAGTTACTGACTTGTTTAACCAGTGTACTTGTCTGTTGGTTGCAAACAAACCATTGTTTTTTGTGAAAGTACCAAAAGAAGCAGTCTGCTTTGCAATAATGAGTGATTTTGGACAAATTGGGTCCTCTTTAATGCTTTTTGTCTAAAATTGTTCATTGTTGCAAACCATAATGTTCTTTTTTATTTTTGCATTTTCACAAGAATGATGGTTTGTTTTTGTTGAATAATTCTTGCAAAGTTAGGAATTAACTTATAGCAACTGTGAAACCAAATTAATTTGGATTATGCTAACTATTTTACAAGGGTGTTATGGGAGTTAGTTTCCTAATCAAATTGTATAGTAGTGTATATATACACTTGCGATCATGCTAGATATTTTTTTCGTGAGAACACCTTCTGAGCCTCAGGATGATTTTCCTCTGATCTAATGGGTTGTAAAAAATGTAGGTGACATTTTCATAAATAAGTGGAACTTCAGTGGCATGCCTGTAAGGGAGACTGGACCTTCACATCTTCACATTGAAGATGCATCGAACTTTCACATACTTTCACTTTACCTTCACAAACCTTCACATACCCTTTCATATATATAGGGATAAGATCCAAAGAGAACCCAAAAAGAGAACCGAAATTGATGAAAAAAAATATCAATATGGATGTCAAATTATTGATGATAAAATGGTTGTCTTTTGGTGCAATTTGTTTCGTTCCAATTTTGATTAAATTTTGCCGATTTTCAATTAAAAAGTAGGGGGGATATTTTTTATTGAGAAAAGGTGGTCGTAATCCCCTTTTTAGTTGCATCCATTAGATTGATGCAATCTAACGGTGTGGGTAAGTTCTTCGTTCTTCTTTCTGGGGTTCTGTGGATATAAATGTGTGTGTGTGTTCTTTGAATTAAGCAGCTGAAGAAGATTATTTCTTCAAAAGTGTTGGGTTTTCAGCGAAAAACCTAGTACAGTGCTTCGAAAACCCAGTAAGTCATGTAATAACTTAATCTAGTTTCTGTGAATTTGTGGATTTTTTAAACACTACGAGCAAATAGCAAGTCGAGAGTTTTTAATAAATTAGTCTTATGATCAACAGCTTACAGTTGGTTTTCAAAGACCATATACATATAGGAGCAGAGTAAAAGGAGTTTAGATTTGTTTTCTTCTATGCAAGGAAGGTTCAGTTTCACCTAAAACATGATAATTAGATTTCACCTAAAGTCATGTCCATATATATTTATTGCAGCTGCAAGATGCAGGGTGTTGGACAGATGCTGCAACCTTGGCAGCAACACATTTAAGAGGAACCGATTATGCAAGGTTCACATCTTCTTTTCATTACCCAATGTATTAAGCGAATGTTGCAGTTGTTAGTTTCCTCGTCTCATTTATTGTTATATATTGTGCAGGGTAATGCAAAGATGGGCAGGACATGTCCTCGATGCTGAACACAACATCTGGAGGTATCATCGTTTGACATTAGTTATGGAAATAAAATACTAGTTTTGTGTTTGTTTGTTGAAAGTGTGAAGTAATGTATGAATGCAGGGCCCTGATATTGTATGTAGCAGCTGGTTCGTTGCAAGATGCATTGGCAGCACTGCGTGAAGCTCACCAACCAGATACAGCAGCTATGTTCATCATTGCGTGCCGGGAAGTTCATGCTGAATTTATAGAGGGTTTAGATCCTGATGACGAGTCGTCAGCCTTGATCAAGGATAAGTTGGTTGTTTTGCATGGATTGAACCCACAAAGTGAAGACGTTATCGCTGTTGGGGAATTATACACAAAGTACCAACAGCAACTCGTCCATCTCTGCATGGACTCTCCCCCCTATTCTGACTAAATTCAACCAAACTTCATTCATTATTGGAGACGTCAAATAAGCAGAGACACTGTGTCTTCAACTTTTCACAATAAATCGAGAAAGTTTTGGCTATACAAATATCATAACTATTTCGATAGATTTATGCTTATGTTTGTTTATTCGTTCATTCAAGTGGTTCCTAGTTGCACTTCATGTACTAAAAGGCTGATTGTTTAAAGCTTAATGGGTTTACAGACATTTCGATATACAACCTCCCGTTTCAAAAAGTTGAAAAAGAAGCCTAATAATCAAATAATTCTAGGGACTCTTTTCATAGTCTCTTTTCTGTGAAATTTAAAGGGTGTTTGGAATCAGTTATAAAAACAACTTATTGACTTATTGCGACATGACATCGATAATAAGCATTTTTGAGTGTTTGGATAAACAGCTTATACTAGTGCCAAACCGGTAATAAGAAGTTTTTGAAAAAGTTAAATCATTCTAACTTATAATAAGTTGATAAGCACTTTTATAGAAAAACATAAGTTATTTCAAATAAGCAATCCCAAACACTCCCTTAGTCGGAGTAAAATTGTCAGTTTTTTTTTTTTTTTTTCTTTTAAACAATATATTCGGTACATCAATTAATCTCAATCTATATAGACAACTTAATACACAAAAGACCTGATAAAGAAGAATAAAAGCAGCTCCTTGGTATTCTTATCAAATGCGTACTAAACCATAGGTCACATATTGTTGGTACTTTTATGTATAAGATTCCTTGGTTGCATTCAACAATTTGCATGGTATTTAAACATCTCAAACCTGCCGTGGAAAATGTCTTGCAAGATGGACAGATTGGTGTTCATGGAAATGTTCACTTGACCAAAGACACGGGTCGGTGAATACCAAACATAGTGTAGGTTCAAAAACATATATTTTTGTCTTAAAAACACACCAGCTTATTTTTGGAAATGTGATGATGCCAGCCAAATTGAATGATATGAAATCTCCTCTCTATAGAGATATATGGTTAACAAAAGAGAGAGTGGTTTGATTAATCAAACAACTTCAATAAGGGTGGTCTCATAGTCATCAGGAGCCACAAACCCATGCAGATTCATCACTGTGGCCGCTACGTTTGCCAGTCCACCATTTGGTACGTCCTTCCGGAATTTCACACCTCCTGCTAATCCAGGACCTCCAATTGCAATTGGCACCTGCATATATATAAACACATTTATGTATCCATCTATCTATGTTACACTACCACTTCATTCATACATATATGGCTTACTGGTTGAAGGGTGTGTGAGGTTTGGATCTGAACTTTGCCATCTTTATCAACAAGAGCCTCCCCCTTCTTGTTTCTCTTCACCATGTCCTCTGCATTCCCATGATCTGCAGTCACCACATATATTCCACCCACTTCCTCTATTGCATCAACAATCATCTGCCACCACAAAATCTTACCTTTTGTGAGAATATGTACATCACTTCCCAAAAAAACCCTTTAGAAGACATGTCTTAGGAAAAATGGTCCAATTTCTAGCCCATGTGGGACTACACACTCCTCCAACGGAGGCTAGACGGGAAAACATTGTCCTAGAGTGCTGAGAGGGAGCTAGATGGGCACAAATTATCGCAGTGTTAAAGCCCCTAGAATGGTAGACCTGGGCTCAAATACCATGTGAGGCCATGTATACTGAACCCCATCAGATTCTCTCCAATAGAAAAGAGAGGTACCAACATATATAAAGAAGAAATGGTCCTAGTCTAGGACTCCAATGCCTTTCTTCATCAATATACACATTTCCTGAAAAAAAAAAAAAAAAAAAAAACTTGCAAATTTTGTACATTGGATTCCAAGGCCAGAGAGTTTATTACCTTAACAGCTTCATCAGCAGCCTTGCAGGCCACAACCGTAGCCTCAATGTCACCCGTATGCCCAACCATATCACCATTTGGTATATTCACCCTTACCTACAACCATATGAAAAGATTTGAACTACATATGCAGCAGATGCCATTCTCTTTTTTTACCAAGCAAAAGAGTACCATGGTTACCTGGTCAAATTTGCGACTGAGGATAGCATCACGGGCCTTCTTACCGATCTCCAGAGCCTTCATCTTTGGTTGGACATTGAAGGTAATCCCGCTATCACTTGGAATTTCCACGTACTCCTCCAAGTCTGAATTAAAATATCCAGAGCGGTTCCCATTCCAGAAAAATGTGACATGACCAAACTTGACTGTTTCACTGTTGTACCAAAAACAGGGTCAAATTTAAAATTCTTAGAATCAATAAAGAATCACAAGAAACTAAAGAACTATTGTTCCCGAAATAATTAACCTAAGATGGTATATGACAGATGGACATTAGCTTTCGTACATCAGAACTAAAGAGAAAACTAATGCAATAACATCAAGCTTTTGCTCTAACATAAATATTTTGAGAACCTGAAACCAACTATTTCATGAATTATTCATGATGAATAACCTTATAAACATTCATGAATATCATGCATTTTCATTATTCATAATATTCACATAAATATCTATTATCACAATGAATTCATCAAATAGTTGGTTCCTTGGTTCTCAAAAATATATACGGTTCTCCTTTGAACCTGCCCCAACATGATCTCACCTGCAAGCAAAGGTGCGGACACCGTTATGCACTAGATATTCACCAGACGTCCTCTCTATCAATGGAGGAGAAACGAGATAGTGACTTGGAAGCTTCAACTCTCCATCATATTGAAGCATTCCAGCATAGCGGATTTTGGGGAAGCGCACTCTATCAAATTTATCGAACTTTTCATATTCAAGAGCTTGGGCAAGCATCGTCATACGATCTGCCCTGAAGTTAAATGTGACGACAGCATCACCATCCATTATGGGACCAACAGGCTTCCCACTCTCATCAACAATCACAAATGGTGGTAAATACTGGTCATTAGCATTTGGAGCTTCCCTAAGCTTCTTGATAGCCTCAACAACACTCTTAAATTTGTGTGGGGCTTCACCAAGAACCTGAGCATCCCAACCACGTTTCACAACTTCCCAATCGTTCTGCAAAAGTAGCAGCAGAAGTTCAAAGATTCAGCAAGATACCATGCGATATAAAACCAAGTAAGATATTGAATAGTTAAAAGACAAAATGCATCAAAATGTAACATAGTTCGGTTTAATATTTTTTTCTCAATCGATGTAACAAACTTATAATCTTTCCTATTTTGTACCCAATTTGAAATGTAACATGTTAATCTTGTGGCATTCGATAGCGTGCATATGAAGTTGTCAAATGTCAATTATATTATAAAATAGATGGCATGAGTTACCAAGTCAGATTATAGTTTTATTATTTTGTTAAAAACTCAAGATTTTTTACTTCACTTTTTACATTCAAGTAGGCTGAAACCCAGTTTAATAGATAAAGTGCGTACAAAAATAGGAAAAATTAAAGTTCGTTACATCGATTGAGAAAAGTATATGTTACACTAAATAGGAACTAAACCAAACTTTGTTGCATTTTAATGCATGTGGTCCATAACTAAACTTTGGTGTATATTAATACATTAGCCCAAACCAAACAGAACCACTATATCCCATTCAAGAGAAGGGTCTGGGGGGTGGGATGTATCCAGACTGTGATCCACCCAAAAGGGTAAAGCGGCTGTAATGGCAGCATTGACATCTGGAACACTAAAGAATTTACCTCATAACGGTCCATGGTGACATACATGCGCCCTCCACCAGAAGCAACCTGTGCATCAATGCCTTTATTACGTAACTCTGCAAGGTCTTTTTCAAGTGTTTCGGCAAAGCCTACACTTGAACCATCCACAACATCACGGCCATCTGTAAGCACATGAACACGTATCCTCTTGGCCCCACGTTCACTAGCACCTTTAAGTAGCAACTGCCAACCAAAAAGATACATGATGATCCATCAAGAAAAATTACATTTATATTCAGACTGTCTACTTAAATGTTCAAACCTATTTACCTGTAACTGATCAAGGCGGGAGTGCACGCCCCCATCACTCAATAACCCGATAAGGTGCAAGGTGCTTTTTGCAAAAGATTCCTTGATGTAATTGAAACCTTCATCTTCGTATATTTTCCCAGAGGCGAGTGCAAGATCCACGAGTTTTGCACTAGTAGAAACCAACAGAAGACCGTAAGTAATTGTAACTAAATATCGAAAGAGAATATTCAACAAATATGAACTATCTCAGTAGAAACCAACGATGCATTTGATCAAGTCAACCATCCATTTGACTGTCCATCTTAATTTTGTGTTTCCCTCTATTCCATGCTAATGGGACTTATGATTTTTCATGCCCTTTAAATAATTCATTCTTTAGCAAGTTTTTATAATCTGAAAAAACCCTACTTCACCTATCATCATCCTCGCCAACAATTGATGGGATTGATTGGGCCTACAAAAACTTAAGACGGATGTCAACAATATAATAGTCATGCTTGTGTTATCAAACGCTGCAACTGTGATGGGTCTGAGGAACTAGGGTTTTTCGCTCTCTGAAGAATGTAAAACATACTTATTACGTTGACCATAATTGCAGTTGTAAGTAAAGGAGAATTCTCGCATGATGCAATCAAAGGTACATCAATTACTCATATATCTATATGCAATAATTGGTTACTTGGAACCAGAAAGTTACAAGTTCACTGATTTCTGTTGAAACAAGCTCATCCTAGTCTTCATGATTAAAATAATGGTGATTAGAATACTGATTACTGCAACCATCTCCATGGAAAAATTCAGTAAGAAGAGGATCATAAAAGCAAATGGCACCATTTTTTTAATGTTTAATTACTAGTTTATACCATCGATATGTATTAATAAGCAATAGCTTAATACCAACAGAGTGCATGTCATTCAAATTAAGAACAAATCATGATAAGATGAAACTGAAGGACAGATATAATAGAAAGATCACCCTTGAGCATATATCCGTCCAGCACCAAGAGCATTATGTCCGACTTCACTGTTTCCCATATCATCATCAGTCGGGAGCCCAACAGCAGTACCATGAGCCCTCACCAATCTCCACTTATCAGGGGCCATCTGAAAACAACGTACACCGGATGAGTAATCAGTTGCTAATGCATCAAACCATCTGTCTCTTCAACGATCAATATCAAAATCAAAACTAACAATTGACTGAAATCACTATAAAGATATCAGCACATATAAGACGCAATCATCGGCAATGGATTGCGAGAACAAAATATAGAGTAGAAAAGAGGTACGTTTTTGAGAGAATCCATTGTTGGCGTTTCAGCGACATGGATGCAGTTGAATTTGTCCGGAGAGGCTTCACCCCAACCATCCAAAACGACGACGGCGATGATCTTCCCTTTGGGTAGCTTCGGGTGATCAGCCAACTTCCATTTGCCCTCCATGTTTGCTTTCAGTAATCAGTATTGATCTCTGTTTCCGTGACAGAGAGAAATGCAGAGCATGGAACGGAAGTCTCTAGAATTCTGAAAAAGTACCCCAAAGTCCCTCAACTATCAATTATTGTTCAAAAACCTCCTCAGTTTATTGTATCTTACAAAACCACCCCCGTAAAATAGTTGGGTTTCTAAAAATAGCAATTTAAATTAACCCCTAAAATAAATTGCTAAATAATTTTAGATTACATTATTTGGAAAACTTTTTCGGAAAGAAACCCAAGTTGGATCCAATGGCGTTTAAACAAATCTAAAACAAAGCATAAGCTGTTTTAGAAATACATTTTTAGATATGATGTGGGTTCTGATGGAGCACTTAGAAATCAAGATAGATTTCCTCCCGCACACAAACATGCGTTGGCCTCACCCGGATGCTAGCGCAAAACCCTTCTAGTGTGTGTTTATAGAAAAGAAAGAAAAAGTTTATTTATATTTTCTCTAATAGTTAATAAATCTGAAAGACTGATTAACCTTTTAGACTTACTGACTCAGGCCCATCACCTTATTTATATTGATTTTCCTGAATTATAGATAGACTATAACTCAAATAAGATTTTGTATTTATTTGTAAGTATATATAATTATATTTATCATAATATATATACATAAGGGGATGTTCTTTTGTTAACCGAATATATGGTGTTAACTTTGTGAATCAATCGCACCCATTCATCTTGAAAATCAATAGATTATGTTTAACATGATATTTATGTAATAACTAAGAGTATGATACGTTAGATTGGTACATGAACAATATATGAACAAGGGTATTATTGGAAAAAAATCAAAAATATTATCCTCATTAATTAGCCTCTTGTAGTTATTACTCTATCGAATAGTAACCGACTCCATCAATGATTTAATGTCTAAAGTCTTCATCCCTTAAATTTATTGTCTTCGACTTCATCAATGATTTAATGTCTAAATTCTTCATATACGTTCACAGGTTATTCCCTCTTTTATATATGAACATTGTTCACTTATGTACATATGTTCTCCACCAAAGAAACCCATCATGATCATCTAATCATATGTGCGTTTGTGAACATTAATCTCACGTGTTCACCCATCATGTTTACTTACGAACAATGGAATTACGTTCAACTTATTAAATACGGGATAATATATGGAAAAGAAGGAAGATGTTGATCAATTTTTGTGCTTAGGTGATTTGTTTTTTTTTTTTTTCAAATATTTTGTGTGCTTGGGTAATTTAGCTAGAAACATGGAACTGAATGTTTCTGTAACAGCTCATTAATGCAAATAGAATTAAGACAGAAGAAAATTACCAATATATCCTCAATGTTAATTGCATAGTGAGAGATGAACATAAGATAAGAATGACTTGTGATTGATCTACAAGGTTAATATTGTTTTTCATGGTTAACAAATGATATTAGCTCTATATACATATAATACCTCGTAATTATCATAATTACACTTTTAACACATACTACTGATTATTCTATAGAATAGTTATTTAACAATCAATCATGATGCAATTCAAGTTTCTGGTAAATAGAAGCACACGTGTTATTTGTGTGTGACCCTATAGGTTTACATATTCATTGACAGCATTTATGTGTGACACGTGTCATAAAACTTACATACACAATGTCGGATAACCATATTTTCATAATGAGAAATCTATAAACTAAGACATAAATTAAAATGTCACTAGTTTCCACTAATCATATAGTAGCAAAACTTTCCCGTCACGTTTTGAGATCCCTCGTCTTGGTCGTAAATGCCTTCTTCTACAGATCCTTGATGTTGAGACGCTCGATATTGAGATCATTGATATTGAGTTCCTTGTCTATTCGTATCAACCTAATGTTCTCCTATTCTCTTTCTTGTTATTTTTTTTTTATGTTTCATGTACTCATAAAGCAAGGATCAGATATAGAAGTTACGTCAATATTCTAGTCGTTTGTCAACCTTTTATCCATTGATATTCTATCAGTTTAAACTTCATTCGCTTTAATTATAGCTTTGCTCATTTTTTACTAGCTTTGACTAAACTCTCTAGGGTGTTTTATCGTATTGGAGCTTTGATTTTGCTTTTTTATACCAATTGGTCGTTGAGTTAAAGTAATACCTTATTTGTCATTAAGATTCAACAAGGGTAAACGGGCACTTGTCCCTGATGATGAACCAGGATCGGGAGAAGGTGACTGATAAGGACTTTGTTGTTGATATTGAGGTGTTACAATGACATTGAGAAATTCTCGTAATCTTTCATGATATGCGAGACATAATCAAACTTAAAACATCTTCTTGTAGGAAACATCTAGTTTTAACATCTCTTTCACTTCATTCATCTATGAAAAATGCATGTTAAATTTTTATATATAAATTAATAAAACAGTGATCAACTAACTCAACAATAGTAATAAATACTTACATTATCTTGTTCAGAAGCACCACTATGATTCTTGTTTTGAACTTAGTTGATAGACCCTCGTAATTTTTTGGTCGCTTTCTAAACGACTGACACTCGCGTTTACAACGATCTTCTTGGTCGACAAATGGTTGTGAACGACTCTCATGCATGATATTGAGCTTTTATTCTTCCCCAAACTTATCTTTTGATTGGTTTTTACCTATTATTGGATTTTGAGATATATCAATATAACAATGACATGACTGTATATCTTCGTTATCTTTGTAGAATGAACTTCAGACTGGTGAAGACATTTTATGAAATAACTAGAATGATACCCGCGCAATGCAGCGAGATACATCTTGATTTTAATGTTTCATTTTATTTTTTATTTCAGTCGATGTTATAGTATGGTCTTATGTGATTTTGAAAAAACAATAATGTTTTTATTTTTGAATAAAATATAAATTTGAAAATATAATAAAATTTTGACCAAAATATATCGATATCAGTATCAAATTAACTATTTAAAATTCTTATTTTTTGTGTAATTTTTTAATTCAATTTTTTATTATAATTTAATTTAAATTTAATAATGAAATAATTTAATTTTGGTTTAATAATATAACATTTTATAAATATAACTAGAAGCGTACTTGCGCAATGCAGCGAGATACATCATGATTTTAATATTTCATTTT